CTCTCTCTCTCTCTCTCTCTCTCTCTCTCTCTCTCTCTCTGTGCACATACCTGTTCTCACCCACACCACACCCCACACACACACGGGCATACAGAATACTAATGGAAAATAAAACATACATTTTTCTTTTTATTTCATTATATCATCTGTTGTTTTGCTCAGTTTGGGTTTGTTTTGGGTTTTTTTTTGTTTTGTTTTGTTTTTAATGTAAGGTATTTCTGTGCTGTCCAGGCTGGTCTTGAACTCCTGACCTTACACAATCTTCAGTAGATAGAAGTCTAGGCAAGCCTGGCTTTGTTTCCTATTGAAACAATAAATTTTCACCTGGCCTACTGGCATATGCAGAAAACACAGCATTCAGGAGGCTGAAAGAGGAAGTTCACAAGTTCAAGATCACCCTGGATTATGTACTCTTGTGCTCCTGCTACTACTACTACTTTAGCTATGTAATTAGACCCTATCTGAAATTTTAGTTTTGAAATAACCACACAGGTTTGTGTTTTCCAGTGATAGCATCCTGGAAAGCACATTTAAAAGTTACCCTTTCAATTTTAAATAATGTTAGTAAAAGGTCATAAGTTATTATTTCACTAAAAATACTTTTTTAAACAAAGCACTGAGCAACAACGAAAACCCTACCTCACTTATTGAGAAGGGGGAGAATTGAGTTTGTATGGATAGAACAATGAATTAAAAAGGAATCCTTAAATGTATAAGAACAGGATTGTGTTAGTAGTTTAATTAGGCTATATGTAGTTTGTACAGGGTATCAAAGATCATAGTAGATGTTAAAATGAAGACAATTGTTATAGAAATTAACTTGGAGATGGGAATTATGTAACAATGGGGCTTTGCCAATTAGTATTTAGTTCATATGTCTGTTTGATCATAGACTTTCCATTCTTGCTAATAAACTCTTAAATAACTTAGTATCTATATTACTGCTAAGAACATAATTTGTTTTGGCCACTCACTAAAGTATGTCTTTTTCTTTTCTTTTTTTCCCCATTATATTTTGAGAAACGTCCAAAGTTTACCACATGTTCATTTTCTTTTGTGGTATAAAGTCAGAAGCAAACTGTATGTCTGGTTTGAACATAAGACATCCTTTTAAATTATGGACCCTGAACTTCATCTGTTGTTTCTTTTTTAATGTTTTTTAATTAATTTTTATGATGCTGTGATTGAACCCTTATCCATGCATGCTGTAAGTATGTTATTCCACAGGTGAATTATATAGTCTTTAAACTTCTTTTCAATACATTTATTACATTTGATGTGATTTATTTCTTTCTTCTTTAGCTACTACTCAACATCTTATGATTCCTACAGGAGGCTGGGGGCTGTGCTCGAGCCCTTTACTGGAGATTGAAAGCTGCTAGCATGGGGGAAGGGTGTGATGCAGTCATTGGTATACTCCATGCTCATAAATACAGCACCTTAAACTATTCATAACCCTTGAAAGTCAGACTCAGCTGTGACAGATAAACTCAATAGAGTATTATGAAAATCTTGAAGTTTAGCTTTCACCCAGGTATAATAGTCTTCAGAGGTATTTTATTCCATCATTGAAATTATGCTATTTTCAAGACCTATAAAAAAACAGTTATGTCAAAATTTTGATATAATATGTTGAGATCTTTCAAGCCATATTTAAAGGCCTTTTTCAAAGAGTTTCAGACTAGTCTGAAATGCCTTTTATTGAGCAGTGAAAGTATAGATTGTCTTTTTTCTGAAGGTGAGATACCTCACAAAGTGAAGTAACGTGGAGGGACCATGATGTCTTTCTTTGAAAGTTATTTTAATGATACTACTCAGATTTGTTGCTAACTTTAAATTGAGTTTATAAAGCAATTTGTACCTGAAATTAAATATTAATATCATGCATGAGGTTAGCATAAAATTGTCTTTTTGCATATCCAAATAATTCTACGAAGAGACGTTACATTAATCTATTATCACTTAAGTCTTTACTAATGCCAACATAAAGTATGGGCTGATGAATATATTATGTTGGTTAACTAAGGAGTTAATGTATGAATCTTTATTGTTTACTGAAAACAATTTTAACATTTTCCTTCAAAGCAGTTTTTATGGGGTGTATTGGGCAAAGGCCACGGCTGAAGGGCCTGGAATTGTCAGGTGCACTTATCTTCTCTTTGATACTTGATCAACAGCTGAAGAGTTTGTGTTTAAATAATACCTTTCTGTTTGTTTTGAAGCCATGAGTTTACTGTTCTGAGTTCTACCATCCTTTTGCAAATATATGGAGAGTATATTTGCTGGTATGCTCATTGCCTAGGAAATCTAGTAGTAAATAAAGGAATCTGAGTGATATTCTTGTTATGTTTATTTCTGTGTTCCTGAAGATTGCAACCTTATATTGAAAATGTGCTTTAACAGTATTAAATAACAATTTATTTTAAAGATTCTGTTAATTTGAGAGAGGTGATTTTTCTTGAATCAAAGTAATATAATTCTGCTTTTGCTTCTGGTGAATTTTTGGGCCAGTTCACCCCCATCTGTAATAGCTAACAATGTTGTTGTTGCTCATTGTGCTGTAGGCTCACTTTCTTTTCAGTTGGAATTCCCTCAGTGCAGCTTTACTTCTCAGTCAGTGATGCTGATGAACTCTCACAATATTAAGCTGTGGACATACAGTACACATTTGACTTTATACTATAGTGAATTAATTATTAGTAATCCATTTCTTTTTAAATCTTATGTAATCATTTGTGTTTTCTTAATACTATGTATATTTTTAGCCATCTTTGTTTTCATTCTGTTTCCTAAAGATTACATCCTTGATTTCTGTCTAAAGGTTTGTTGTTGTTGTTGTTGTTTGTTTTTTTGTGTTTTTTATCATTTGGTAGGCTGATCCCTGTTGTCTTAATTTCCCATGCTTTACTGGACCAATGCTACTCTCTATAGAATCATATGCAGGAGGTTCTATCATCACATCTCTGGCAAAAAAAAAAAAAAAAAAAAGGATTTGTTCTATTTTCTTGTGATAAACATTTTGGTGCTGCAAAGTTTCCAGTTCCATTAAACTGGGAAACTACTGGCAAGAGTTTACTTATACTTTGGCCTGAAATAGCCCCCTTAGTGACCTGTCATTGGCTAAGAGCTGCAATCAGAAGGGAAAGGAAATACTGTAACA